GCAAAAGTGGCTTGCTGGACTGTTCTATACATTTGGCATTTAAGGATAGAGGGTGTCGTTTTTTCTCACACTGAACAATCTGTGCTGTTGTATTAGCTGTAAAGTGTCTCTACTGTAGGCTATTTTTATTATATGTACAGCACTTTGGCTCGACCAAAAATCGTTTATAAATGTGCTATATAAATAAAACTTGATTTGATTTAATATGTAGTGCCTCGACACTTTGGAAAGACTTTGGAAACGGCTATTTCCTTTTTTTAAGTTCTCGGAGACAATGTCAAATGTCAATATTATGAGATTAGTGTGTGCATTTGAACAGCATCCATATGCGCGCAGACCTCTGAAATGACAGGGCGGCAACACCTCACCATCACATTTTAACAATTTACTTTTCCAACTCCCCAAAGAAACCGATCCACAGATGACCCACCGCTGCTCAGAGTTTGATGGACTCCGTCTGAGTTGATTAGAAACCGCCGCAGGGAAAAATGAAAGACAGCAGCCAAAATTATTTTTATTATAACCACCATTTTCATTCTTTGGTGGCTCAAGTGGGCTATCCGTCTAAAAGTGCTTTCACAGCTCAACACAATATGCAGAATTGTCCTGACCAATTTCTGGGGTGGTGTGAATGTCTTCTGAAATAGCCCAGAAATGATGAGGAAGCATATTACTTTTTTAAAATAACTCGTGCCTCGGCCAAAAAACAGAGAGGGAGAAATGAGAGCGGGGGGGAAGAAATAAAGCCTGGAATGGAGACTGGCGATAACATCATGTTGATTGAAATCAGATTTTCTATGACAAACCGAGGAGGACTCTTGACTCGGGGGGAAGTGGGAGGAATTGATCACCGACGCTTAACAAGCCAAGTTTCCAGCTCGATTCATTTTTGACAAGCCGTGTGTCAAAATGAGAGATACTGAGCCTGATAACGGAGAAAATCATAGGGGTCTCTTTTTCATAATGTCAAGGAATGGAGCTGAAATATCTCTGTTGAAAAATATCCACAAATAGCGCCATTTTACCCACTACATGTAGGACAGCTTATATCCACGTCATCTATGGTTTTTCCTTTATCACAAAACAAAAGATATCAAATAATTACAAAAAATATTATACAAATCTTTATGATAACCTATAAAAACGATTAATTTGTATTTATTTTTTGATAATTAACTATTGTATTAATTGTAAAGTATTGTTTAGTTTTGAACAGTTCTGTCTGTGATAAAATGCCCTAAATGTAGGCTGTGGGAAATGGTGTGTTCAAGACACTTTCTAGATTAAACAATTCATTAAAACAAAACATCTTTGTGAAAAAGTTTGCTAATTAAAATATATGTTTTACTGTAAACAATACATTTAAGTCCATGCCCTTAGGCTCTGGGATTTGGGGATTTCTGTCACAGTTTTTGGACATTTTATAGATACAAAAATAAAAATGCAAAATACATATTATATGAGAAGTAGCTTGATGAAAGTTTTGAAACAAAATATTGGACGATTTATTTGCTTTAGGTTAAACTTAAACTAAGATAAAAAGCGATTTGTTATCACATCTGGCAAAATCACATGATGTTGTTGGAGCATTTCCAATACAAAGCTAATGATGAGTTCACTCTGATGCCTTCTTAATATTCGTGTTGTTTTAAAAAAGAAGGAATTGTATGAGTATTTGATCCTTTTGTATCGCATTAACATCCCTTGGTAATTGCTTGGAATAATCAAACTACATTGAATCCTCACCATAGTTCAGTTGAATGCAGAGGAAACCAGTGTGCAGAAGGAAGCTGTGTGGCATCGACAAAGCCTGGCCCGTCGCCAAATCTGAGCGCCGTGAAGCTTTCTCTCGTATCTTAATCCCTGGGAAACGGTGCCAAGACGCAGTGGGGTCTTTACAACTCGCCTCCTCCGCAGGGAACCCCCCGTGATGCCGAGGCTGCAGCCCGCGGCTCTGTGATGTCACTCTGCCCACACGTCTCTCATCTCCGATTTTCTCAATGGCTCGCTGTCACCGACGCTCCCTGCTTAGTGTTAGACTAATGCGGCCTTAATGGAGAGTGGTTATTAATCATAATGGAAACACGCTCAATCTCCCAAAGCCAATTCAAGGCAGAGATTAGAGATGAAAATCTGCCAGAGAGGGGAATCGAGCCAAGGGGAAAACCGCACATTGCTCTTCAAGTATTTCATTCCGCCCTTTATTTGATTATCAAATGAAAATGTGATTATATCCGTGGGCCGCAGAACAGAGGCTGTCTGGATCTTATTAGGACTCGCTATTAGTGGTCCTACCATGAAGATTTACAATAAGGGTGGAGAACAACAGAAATGTAAGAAGTCATGGAAGTCTGCAAGTGAGCAAAGCCATTAAGGAGGGAACCATTCAATACAGAGGTTTGTCATTCTGACGGGGCGGTGTGCAGCAGAGAGGGAGCACTGAAGTGTGATTCTACAGTTCTGCTCTGGAGCTCGAGCAAATGGAGCAAAGCTTAAAAGAAGTGATCAAATACAGCTGTGATGTTTGATTTAGAACAAAAAGCAACACGTGTTCAGTGTACCCCACATTATGCCATGCCGGCATGAATGTCACATGTTGTTTGAATTGTTTTTTAATTGTTTTTAATTGTTTTTGTTGTTTTGTTTCACCCTTTTTAATTTTGTAGCACTTTGAGTTTTGTTTACGCAAATGAAAAGTGCGCTTATAAATAAAATATATTATTATTATTATTTTAGACACCTAGAGGAGTAAAACAATGACAGCGTTGTGCATAACGGAAAATATAAACAGTATAATATAACACTTTAGATAATACAAGAAAGAAATAAACAACGAGGGATTTTAATTGTTTATAGCTAAGAATCCGTATTTTACACAGGCTATACTTAGGAAATCACTACACATAGTCAGCAGACCATAACCACNATTTGTTTTAGATAGGACCAACATGTTTCATATGCAGACCTTATTTTCCTGTTCCATGTTCAAATAAACCATTTTCAGTGGTACCGCTGAGAAAGAGTAATGTTTTTGGTCATGGAAAATCATTGGTGCAAAAGTGTATGAACCCTGACTCTAGGATTAGGGCAATTTGGGAATTGTATTTGTTTTAGTTCTGAGATTAAAGTCAGAATTTTGAGAAAAAAGTCAGAATTCTTACTTTTTCTCAGAATTCCTAGAAAAAAGCTGGAATTTTCTCCGATTTCTGAATTAAAAGTCACAATTCTGTCTTTAATCTCAGAATTGTGAATTTAAGCCCCGTTAATAAATGTTTGGAAAGTTGTACCACTAAAGCTGCATTATCTCAGGTTAAAGGCCTGTTTTGTGTATTTGCTAAATAAGTGATATTAGTGTGAAACAGCTGTTTTGCCTCACTAAATTATATTTGTCAGTCTTTGTATAAAACATCCCACTCTGGCTAAGTGTATAACTGTGAATGTTGAACCACGAATATGCCTATGAATCACAAACGCCCCTCTTTCATGAATCCTTCCTCAGACATTCTTGCCTTCTCCATTTCAGAAGAAATTGAAGTAATTTCTTTTTTTAACCTCTCACAGTCCCGTGCCCAGCTTTGAGACGTTGTCGGCTGAAATGGAGACTTTGAAGAGACACCTCTCGCAGATCGACTCCCCGACCGTCCTCTGCCACAACGACCTTCTCACAAAAAACATCATCTACAACCACAAAGAGGGTGAGCATCTCAGCTGACACCTAGAAACATGGTGGTGTTAGATTATCGCTATGAGCACGAAGGAGATTTCTATTAATCAGAAGAAATCAAAGCAGCTAATTACAGATAACAGTAAAGTCTGTCATTGTAGCTGTGCGGTTGAAGAATCCGAACATGAATGGGTTTCTTTTCATTAATTCGTAATAAAGCATCGTCTTCATACCTCTTCCCTTTATTTTTACCTCCTTTGTGTTCCTACCTTATTAAATACCCTTATTATTAGAAACCTTTTATTATGATTATTTATTTCTCTCACTTATTTCACAAGGATTCCCGGGGTGACGCTGAGTCAAAAGAGACTCGGTTTTCCTTTGACTCGCACAAGGTTCTGTACTTTGAATAAAAAAAGGGAGGGAGGGTCGTCGGTTTTACCTGAGATGTGTTCGTCATGTTGTCGTGGTAACTGCTGCTTTTTCCCCTCTCCCTCCTCCATCAGGTATGGTGAAATTCATTGACTACGAGTACGCCGATTACAACTACCAGGCCTTCGATATTGGCAATCACTTCAATGAATTTGCTGGTAGGTCTGTGGAAAGAAGTCCAATTTACCTCCAGATCCGTCTCGCGGCCAGCACATATAATGTCGCCTAATGTGGAGTATTGAGTAAAGTGGTATGCAGAACCTTTGACTATGATATCACTTTATGTTTCTGCCATTATGTACCATGAAACTGTCCTTCTTCTGATGCTGCCAAGACACATTTGCTGCATTCAAGTGTGTTTTCTCTGTGCGGTGATAAAAAGCCGCTTTGATGTACCAGCTGTGTCACAGACGGGGTTAATTTGAACATTTGTGGAACAATCACCAATTCATCACTTTTAGATAGTTTTGAAGAAGCACATCGTGTCGGCTTTCATGTCAACACGTGCCAACTGTTAAACGATTGTGAGTGAAATCATGTGAAATATAGCTGTGTTACGCACACTGGGTTCGAAACCTCTAAATGATCAGAATGCCAAGCTGTGGCTGGAATAAGCCAAATGTCACAAAACGCTTTATGTACTGGAGATTTATTTTACTGGCAACATAAAATCCTGTTTTCATTTCCTTTTAATACAGAGGCAGTCATGTTTTTTCATACGGATCTCTGTACAGTTTAATATATAAATGCAGTGGTAGAGGAGATGTTCAGGGATTTTCCTGAAGTTTAAAATGCCCAGTTTTTATTTCCCATTTAATGAAAATAGTGTCTGTAAAATGTATTGAAAGTATACATTTTAAAATTATTAAGTACCTTTTTTAATGGATTATAAATACTGATAAACTATTTGCGAGTAGTATTAAAGTAAGAAGTATGTCATGGAGCATTTTCTTTTATTTCAGAGCACTATCAGAATATTAATATATTTTATTTTTAGTACAACATTGAAAAACTAAAGGGACAAACTAGTACAGTTCAGTAATAACAGTCCTTACATTAGACCACATACAGTATATTTGTGAAACAACACAATTTAAAACAGGATTTTTAAATCAAGATTGGGAACAGATTTATTGAATAAATGTGGTTTTAAAGAGAATTAAAATGAAAAATAGTTTTATTTGGATTCCTTATTTCATTCTAAGCTCAAATAAATCAACTGAAGGTTCCTCTAATGTAACTTTTTATATGTTTTAGTACACAGATTGGGACGAGTAATGTATGTACAGTAGAATAAGTGTCGACAGAAGAGTTGACGTATCTCTTTGGCAAATCTAAAACAGTTGAAATGTAACCCCACAGTAGCTCCACTAACGTGTGTGTTTTGTGTCGAAGGTGTGAGCGATGTGAACTACAGCCGGTACCCGAGCCGAGAGCTGCAGCGTGATTGGCTGACGGCGTATCTGCAGAGCTACAATCACAGCACAGGACGTGAGGTCACCGTGACAGAGGCTGAAGTCACGAAGCTCTACATTCAAGTCTGCAAATTCTCCCTGGTGAGTGTCTGCTCCTGCCAACAATAGAATATAATCCTTTACTGTCATCATACAGGTACAATGAGATGATGCCTTAAGGTGCCATCAAAAATCAAACAAACAAGAGACGTACAACATTCAGGAGACGACAACATACAAGCATTCGTACTTCAATATGCAGATTGAGTGAAAGTGCAGGAATGTGTCGGTTTAAGTCAAATAAATATGTTTGAATGTGTATACAAATATATATATTTATATGAGGTTTCTCCCATGTTCCCCTTTAAACTGTGGGTTTTCTCCGGAAGTTTTTCCTTGTACGATGTGAGGGTCTAAGGACAGAGGGTGTCATTTTTCTCAAACTGATATTCTGNCAAATGAAAAGTGCGCTTATAAATAAAATATATTATTATTATTATTATTATTTTAAGTGTGCACATACCAGACCTGATACACATCACTAGGATTCATATCGGACACATTTTATGACATAAGAATCGATTTGACAAAATAAAGAGAAGATTTACAATTTAATAAAATAAAAATAACATAAATTAGAACCACAACATATTATGCAATATTACTTTAAAAAGGAATAGTGTTGCAGAACATGTAACAAATTGAGGAAGAATCCCACATTTCCCCCCCCCC